AAACAAAAAATAAAAAAAAAGAGTAACTGACAAGTAATGGTTGGCAAACAAGTACACAAACCACTACCTTGTAACCATACCCTGAAAGTAGTCTGCAGGTCACAACATGCCAAGATTATAGGCAGTAAACTTTTATTGATAAATGGAAGACAATTCATACAAATAAAGGATGGACTCTCAACTAAGAAAAAGACAGGGCAAAAATCTCACATAGTTCCTCTTCCATCATTACCAAACATCATTAGAAAACCAAATTGACCCAAAAGCCAAAACATATAGAAAATAGCTACCTAATCCCTCTTCACAACCAAGTAAAATACCTATTTGACACATGCTTAACACCCATCTAGACACATACCCAACACCAGCCTTCACAGCCCTTGCCCATGCCAGTACCAGCCATTCTCAACCCCAACATAAAACCCATGGTCCACCAAAACCCATCACAACCAAATCGGCCCTTAAAGCTACCTAAGTTACGAAACACCGAATAGCCCTTTCTTTTGCCAGTCTGTGCCACGAAACCCCTCTGCTTCCATCGACCTAAACCTTACCCTACGAACATCACTCATTCGATCACTAAGCCCAAACAACCTTTAACCCCTTGCTCATAAAATCCACCGTGACCACCTATCTAAACTACCTAGCCACCCTTTAACCCTATATACGATCCATCACAACTCTTCCTCGTTACCAAAAACTACATTTTAATCTACAACAACATAACCCATGTTGCACCCTCCCTATAGTATCGATTGTTCCATCATCAGAGCCTTTCAAACAAAAACCTCAAATTTGAAAAAATTGCCAGCAACTCTAACCCCTTTTAAGACACCTAAGCTAAGCATCATAGCCCTATCTCTTTTAGCCTTTAGGACCCAAACCTCCCTAACAACTAAAGCCAATCCACCTAAAACAACCCTAGTAAAAAATGCCCAAACCCTTATCACAAGTTGCAACCCATAAAAAATACAAAAAAATAAGATAACAATTCAACCACATCCCACACAAAGAACAACTAGTAGCAAAAACAAAACAAAACAAAAAACAAAACAAAACAAAATAAAAAAAAAGTATCACAAACAAAAAAAAAAAACAAAATAGGGAAAGAACAAAGTCTCAATTTTGGTAAGGTTTGAAATGGCTTCGAGGCTTGATTCTAGGTGAGAAGAAAGGCTACATGTTGTAATCTTAAAGGATTTAGAATTGCTGAAGTTAGTGTTTTTGGGTTTTAAAGTTGTAGGCTCTAAAGCTAGACTTACAGAGCTTGGTTGAATTTTAAGGGAATTTGAGCTTGGATTTATAAAGAAGAGGAAGAAATGAAGTTGTGGTGATAAGTTTGGTCGAAAATTAAACTAGTCACCTAGCAAGTGACTGACGGCTAAATCTAAAAAAGGGTTTTTTTTTATTATTGGTAAGAGAGTTTGTATTTTTTTTTAAGAAATAACAAGAGAATGTTTTTTAAAACATTTAGCATTTATAAGTTTTTTTTTTAATAGAGAAGAACCCAAAAGACCTTTTTCCACAAACCTGACCCAGATCCTACTGAACCCACTTTAACCCATAGTAGCCTAAATATGTCTGCCTCTGCCTTAACCTGTTACAGACTTAGCCCAAATTGCAACCCGACTATTTAGATCATGCCATTTTGACTTGGATTTTGGCCCAACTTATGGTAAATTCTATTTTAGTTTTATTTGTTCATTTATCTATTTATTTTTCATGCATTTGTAATAAATAGATGAAATTTTTTACGAATGATTGAAGTTGCAATTAAAAAAAAAGAGTTTTCACAAGTGAATTTTAATAATTTGGAATTAAACAAAATGATTATTTTAAGAAAAGAAAAAAGATTTTTTTAAAAAAATTTGAAAGTAAATACGAATTCCCAATGATGGGATTCCAGGAAGTCCTAGTAACGAATTTCGAGAATTCTCTAGGTGAAAAAAGTTTTTTAAAAATTACCAAAGTATTGGAATGTTTAAAAACTCATTTTCAATACAAGGATTCTCATTTTATCTCATATTTTTTGTTTCTTTTCCTTAATTTGAATAATTTTCTTAAAGGAAACAAAATATAAAATATTTATAAAAATATGCATTTGTTAATAAATAAATTCATTTATGGATAATTGTATTCTAGTTTAACTTTTAAAATGAAATATTAATAACTAATAAAGATTCTTTTGATGATGAGATTCTAAAGAAGTCTAAGTAGTGATTTTCAAGAAATCTTTAGGTGAAAATTTTTTTTTAAATATTACCAAAGTATTAAAGTATTTAGAATAATTTTCAACATAAAAATTCTCGTTTACCTTTTTTTAACAAAAAAATGAATAAATTTTTGTATAATACAATAATATTACAAATTGATTACTGAATATTATGTTTTACGCATATATCATTTTTTAAAGAAATAAAAATTTTCGAGGATGGGATTTTCAAGAAGTCTAGGTACTGATCTTTAAGAACCTTCAAGTGAGAAAATTTATCTAAAATGCCGCCTATGTACTGGAGCAATCAAAATAATTTTCAATAAAGATTTTTTATTTTTTAAGAAAAAATAAGAAATGAATTTTTAAAAAATATTATTTTGATTAAATTATAGACATCATATTTTACTATATGAATGGTAAATAAAATATTAAAGATAAATATGAACTATCGATGATGAGATTATTGGAAAGTTCAAATAGTAATTCTTAAAAAATTCCTAGGTAAGAAAGTTTATCTTAATATTGCTAAAGTATTGGAATATTTTAGTGATTTTTTAATATGTAAGATTCTTATTTATTTTTCAAGTGAACAACTAAAAATAAAAATATGTTTTTTTATTATAATAAAGAAAATAAAGAAAATTAAGGTTAAATACCAAAGGTAAGATCATTGTTGTCAAAATTAAAGGATAACATATGGTTAATTGGTACTGTTTTTAAAATAAGCACTTTGGGAATACTATTCCTTCCCTATACGTAACTATATTTCCGAATCCAAACTGTTTTCATAGACCCAAAATTATCTTTTTAATAAATTTTAATTAATTTTAAGATTTTATTAAAAAGGTAAATTTTAATAGGTGACCAATCACACCTAGTCGAAAAAGGTTGGTGGTGACTTTTGTTTTATTTTCAAATTCATTTAGTGGTCCCCAAAATCATTATGACAAAAAAGATATAGCAAAAAAAAAAATCATACACTTTTAGACATGATAATATCTATGATGACACAAGCTAATTAATATCTATGATGACACAAGCTAATCTCCTAATTAGTTTATGGAAAGATGCTCTTTTAACTTCAGTTTACATTTTAAATCAAATGTATTCAAAATTTATTCCTTTAACACCTTATAAATTATGGGAGGGTATAAATTAAAGAATTATGAAAAATAATTTTTTAATAATTTTCAATAAAAATAATCTTACAATCTTAATTACTATTATAATGTTGATTGTCTCTACACAAAGGAAATATATGGAGTGACTTTCATGGTAAAGTCAACAAAAGGGTTGAAGGGAGTGGTACACCCTTACCCCCAAAATAAATTTTATATAGTAATATTCACTAAATATATTTTAAATTTTATATGTAATAATATTAAGTAAAAATATTTCACGTTTTATTTTAATTTTGTTATAAGTAGCAACAAGGACTACATTTTTTATCTTAAAAAAAAGGCCTTTGTTAAAATATTAAAATTTTGAAAAATAGTTTTAACATTTACTATGTTTTTATTTTTAAAATGCTATCTTTATTAAAATTTTAAAATTTCAAAAATATGGTTTCAACATCTACTACATTTTTTATCTTAAAAACACAGTACTTGTTGAAATTATAAATAATAAAAATCATATTTATATTGTAATTTTAGGAGATTAGAAAGAATAATATAGTCTGAAAATACAATTTAAGGTAAAGGAGATAAAATTTTCACTTTTTCTCCGAAATCTAAAAAATCTAAGAGGAGAGTTTTTTATTCTCTTCTATTTTTTTTACATTGTTGAGAATTTTAAAAAACCTCAAAAATCATATTCTGTGAATCAAACTAAAAAATCAAATTATAAAAAATAAGATTCTAACCAAAAATCTTACTTTTTCTCGAACCAAATATCATCTAAATATTCTAATAATCTTTCAATTTTAATAAAATATAATATATATATATATATATATATAAATGGATTAGTAGGGCAAGCTGAGACTTGATTTAAAAAAAAATAAAGTACAAGAAGCTTGAGTTAAACTCAGTTAGATCTAACCTAAGAACATTTATTGTGCATATAAACATTAATAATTTAGGTAATAGAGTAAAAAAAAACTATCGAATAATTATTTAAATTCTTAATATTTAAGTGGTTTAAGTAAATACATTATCAATTTCCAACAATATTAAATGGAAAAGTTTAGCATAAATTTTCAAACATGAAAATCTTAAGATAAAGAAAAATTAAAGAACCAAAAATAAAAAAAATAAAAAAAAAAACTGAAGGGAAAAGAAGAGGACGTGAGAAATGCCATGTCGCACTCCTATTATGAACTCACAACAGCTCTTTTGTAGTGTGTTATTTGATGATCTTAATTATCTCAAAGCAAAACTTGACCAAGATTTTTTGGAAGAATCAAGTATTTAAAAGCCAAGCTCGAGATGCACATTTGTAAAGTCTTTTATTATTAAAATAATAAATATTATTTTTATATTTTTAAATACATTTTTTAAAAATTTTAATAAAAATATATTATTTATTAATGAAATAATCATTTAGGGTTGAATTACGTTTTGAATTTAAGATTTAAACTCAAACAGGAAACCATTTTTTTAAGCTAAATACTATTAAATAGATAAATCGAAGTATGAACATCTCAAATTAATCATGAAAAATATATTTATATAAATTAATAAAAATTATATTAATTCTTAATTTTTTTAATTAAAAATATTATATTTTAAGAATAATATCTAAGCAAAAATCAATGAAACAATAACTGGAAAGGTAAACTTACCCAAGAGGCAAATCTTTGTGCTTACCATCCTTAACTGTAAAGTATTGTCCTCTGGGAACAAAAATCACAGGCATATTGTTATGTTGAGCTTGCTAAAATTTAAAAACAAAAATGCATTTGAGAGATAGAAAAAATGAACTATCTCACGATTGTATGGTTAGAGCAGTTTGGCGAAGTTGGGAGGCAATGCCAAGTTGATCAAGTGCTCGCCACCCATTTGGTTGCACTATAATTGCAGCTCCTGTTGCTCGCAATTCTTCTGACCTTTCTAATACAATACTTCCAATTTCTTTCCTGCATTTAAAAAAAAAAATTATAAATTTAAATATAGAAATTTAACTTAAATTTTTAAATTAATTTATTATTCCACTAATTTATTTAATATATATATCAAGATAAATATTCCATATTTGATCATATATCGGAATCTTTGTTTCTAATTATCATATTCATTATATTATAAATATATAAATTTTATATGCTGTTAATGAATCGTAAATTATTCCATTAATAAATAATATTAAAACTATTACAACACTTAAAATAAATAATCATAAAGTTTTTAAATGACCAAAAATAATTATCATATTTTATTTTATTTTTCTTTACCCTAAACCTTTACTACTCGTTTCCCATGTAGATTAAAAAAAATGTTGTTCTTTTCTTTTGCATTTTCTTTTTTGCAAAAAGCACCAACTAGCAAATCACAGAACTAATGAGAGAGAAAGTTGGAAAGTGAAGACCCCCGATCATTTCCTTTGTCAATTTATGAATATTTATTGAAAATTTAAATATTTATTTTTATGTACTTCCAAATTTTAAAATAATTTTTAGTAAAGATACAGTTCACCAAAACTATCTGGAAATTATAAGTTACATCAAATAAAAGAAAATTGATCTTCTTCGTTATTTAAAAAAGTATTGAAATTTTTCATTGATTTAAAATGTACTTTCAAATAAAAAAATTATATTTGGATTGACATAATTTAAATTCGATGATCTAAAGCATAATTTGAGTGTGGAATTAGAAAAATTAAAATTAAAAATAACTTAAACTTAAAATGATTACAATTTAAAATAATCTGATTTTTTTAAAAATCCAAAATAATCTACTTTCAAAATGATGAAATCCAAATCACTTGCTCATTTATTACCTCTACTATATATTTATATATATAAAAGATTAAACTTCCTACATAATATATATTTCTACACCTTATTATTAGATCTCTTCTTTCCATTATTTATTCTTTCTTTTGTCAAAAGAACAACATTGAATTCTTGAAGCCTAGAGTTAGTAAATGATGTGATAAGGTGTTTTATTGAATAGAATATAAAAGATAATTTAGTATGACTGCAATTTTACTCTTTTTTTTTCCTTAAATTTCAAAAGAACAATATGAGAATCTTTTGTAAGTTTTTCATTGATCAAGAAAATTAAAGAGTATTGGCCAAAAAAAAAAAAAATTAAAGAGTAGCAAATCTCTTCCTAAAAAATATGTTGTTTAAAGAAAGCAATATAAAGAAATAGAATTAGAAAAGGAGAAGAAGAAATATTATAAAATGTTATAAAAACCTGTGAAGAGCAAGAGCGGTGGCAAGACCACATATTCCGCCTCCAACAATCACAATTTTTTCTTCCTCAGCCTTTTCCATTTCCACCTTCAATTCTTTTTATTTTGTTCTCCTCTGAGAAACATACAGATAATGGGGCTCTCACTCTCTTCTTGTCTTGATTATGAATTTGCTTTGAGACAAGGTGCAATTATTTTCTGTCTCTTGTTTGTCTTGTTTTGAATACAGATATACCTAAAATATTAATTTCATGGACTTCTCGTGAATAATTTTTCATATTTTATATAGAGATTGGTTTCTAAAATATTTCAATATAAAACATTTTCAGACATACAATCACTCCTTAACAAAATATTTGCACTTCTTTTATTTTATTTTTTTTATTTTATCTTTGTTTACGTCCCAAAATGTATTTTTATTTATTTTTAACGCATAATACTTTTTTTTATATTTTACGTTGATTTTTTAAAGTTTTATCTTTTTATTATAAAAATATTGTAAATTGATATTGTAAAAGAATATAATTTTATAATATTAAAATGAAAAAAAAATTAAATCATCTATTTTAATATACGTTAAAATAAAAAATCGAAAAACATGTGAGCAAAGGAGTACTAACACATATTCAAAGGCATAGGGAGATTGAATTTGGATATGAATTCAATTTTTTTTATTTTCATATAATCAGATTAATTATTATTTTGTAAAAACGAAAATGCAGTGAGATAAGCCACTTTTCTTGGTGTTTAGTTTCAGGATTAATTAGTTAATAATTAAGTAATGAATCATGCCAAGATTATGAATGCAAAGTCACCCACAACTTACTAACAACATCCGAACTACACACACAAAAAAAAAAAAAAAAAAAGAGTTAAAAGGCTACTCACAAATCATAGATTTGGAAAATCTGTAGACTGTAGTGCCCGGTACCAATTATTACACTGCCTGTTGTAGGCCACATTAGCTATTAAAGGCTGCCCACAATCCTTTTACCTAACCTAATAAAGCATCATTTAACAATTCTGTATTAGGTAAGGGCTGATCACAAATCATATATATTGTCAGTTTTTGTTTGTTGTTTGGTGTAATATAAAGGTGATTCTATGTTGAGTAATGCGTACTTTATGTTTTGGTGTTGTCGTCTTTAAGGTGCTTTGGCTTCTATTTTAAACTCAAAAATTCAATACTGGTTGGCTGGCAACTACAAGGATAACATCAAAGTTGAATCTTCTCTCGGTCGTTTTTTCTTCCATCATTTAATTTCTTGATAACTGAAAAAATGCCAAAGGTGCTTTAGACTTTTTTAATTTAGTGCCGACAATCTGAGAAATCACTCGTCTTACACTATACTATGAGCAATTAAAATTTATTTTTCTTTGTCATCTATCTTGTGTTATAGATGTAAAGAATAATATATTCATAGGAAAAGAAAAAAAAAAAACAATTTAATTTTGGAAGTTGATAAAAACCCACTTCAATTTTCATCTCCGGCTTTAGTACCCATATTGTTAAGTGGAATAATTATAAAATAAGGGGAAAACTAGAAACTCTTTTGCATGGACTTGAATTATTTTTGCATGGACTTGAACCTCATTCCATTTCATTATTGGATTAATTTTGACCTAAGGTTGGAAGGGCCAATTTAATTTACGTTAATGCAACATTTAGTTATTTGGACTTAAAGGTCCAAAAATTAATATGAATCCAAATGTCAATTTTAGACCTAATTAAAAGCCTAATTGGTGGCCCAATCCAATTTAAAGTCCAAAATTTTAAGGCTTAATTTTGTTTAATTACTTTAATTAAATAAAAAATATAAAAAAATAATTAAATTAATTTAAAATTAAAAAAAAAGAAAACAGACAATTTGAAGTTAACACTACCAGTAACTAACTCCTCTACTCCATTACTTTGCAACCAATTTTGCAGGAGCAACCAACTCCACTACTGAGTTTACATGGCACAACAAGCCAAAATTCCCAAGCTGCAGTTAGCTTTTCATAAAAGGCAGAAGAGGTTCTACAAAATTAGATACACAATTCAAAAGGGGACACACAGAGGCCATTTTGGAGAGAGAACCAAAGAATCCTAGTCTTTCCTACCACCCATTTTGCAACCAAAAAACCTCCATCAAGCAAATATAGAATTGAAAAAAACGTAGTAACCAGAAAACCTCCGTCAAGCAAATGCGGGACCAAAAAAATCCCAACAACACAAAGCCTACACTGCCAATTCATAGAGCCAAAAAAGCTCAACATCCACAAGCTCTTCTAATCCCATTAGGTCACCAGCTTCAATTTCCTATCATTACATATAAATCTATGGATTTACCACTATATATGGATTAAAAGAATTATCACAAATCTTTTTTATTTAGGTGTGATTGGTTACCTGATTAAATTTATCTTATTTAAAAAAGAATCATAAAATTGACTTAGGTATCTTTAAATAGTATATTTTAGTCCATGAAACCAAATTTTAGATTTAAGAGTGCAGTTATGTGTGAGGAAGGATATAGCACCCTTATAACGCCCATCAAAAAATAGTACCAGTTCAATTTCAAATTATTCAAGTTTCAAACATGTTTACAATTTATCAAAATATTTCTATTGAAAATTGATCTTAAAATAACTCCAATAGTTTGATAGCAATTTAAGATAATTCTCTCATCTCAAAAATATTTATGGAGACTAGTCTCCCACTCTGAAAATGCTCTATCGTCAAGTACATTAATATATTTTTATTCAAGAAAATAATTTGTAAAATCTTTTAATAGTTTGGTAATATTTACTTTGATGCAAATCTCCTAATAATTTGGTGAGATTTTATTATAAAATATTTATAAGATTCTATTTTTGAGAAAGTTCATTAAATTTTTCAATAATTTAGTAAGATTTAACTTAAGAAGCAATCCTTTAATAGTTTGGTAGGATTCATGAATTTATTTAAAAAGAGATTTTTTTTAGGTTGTTTTTCAAAAATAAAATAATAAAGAGAAATTTTACAAAAGTATTTAAAAAGTAATAAATTGCTCAATTTAAAATTAGTAAAATAATAAGGATGATAATAGTAATAAATAAAATAAAATAAGAAAACACTTAAAAATAAAAATTACAAAAAATAAAACAAAAAAAAAACTTACGATCGGGTTAGGTTGTTCCATAGGCAGCTTGGGGATCCTAAACGAGTTCACGCAAATCTTAGGCTAGATGAAATGGCATCGTATTAGGGCATTATAAAAAGACAAAAACTTGGTTTTTTCCTCAAACTACCCTACCCATTTCTCTTTTTACCAGATTTTGCTTTAGCTTCTCTTTAAAAATAACCAGACTCATTTGCCGAAAACTGGGCAACTTTTTAGTTTCTAGAAAGTGTAGCCGGAATTTTGCTAAAAAATTCAAAACTCACCAAAAAATTTAACTAGAAAATTCAAAGTTCAAACCCAAAGCTTAGATCTTTTCAGTTTTCCCTAGAAATTCAACCTAAAACTAGAAATTTAAACTCCAAACCCAAAAACTTCAATCCCAAACCCAAAAATTTAAACTAGTCTCAATCGCCAAAAACTCAAAACCTCAATCCCAACAACTTAAACCAGTTTCAATCACTAGAAACTCTTGCCTAAAAATATTCCCCAAAAAACTCTACTCTCTCATTTGCGATTTTACACTCAATTTATAGCCAATTTTTAGCAGAGATTTTAGGGCTTGAACAAAATTAATATAAGCTTGAATCTTAGAGTTGGATTCTGACCAATGTGATTTAGTCCTAGGTTTTTGCAAATTTGTCTGATGTGATTTCATTCTGAATTGAATCTATTTGATTATACATATTTGATTTCCTTATTTATTAGTACAGATTAAGAAAATGAAAGAAAATTAATAACAAATACGACAACAATAACAATAATAACAACAATAAAAATAACAACAACAACAACAACAATAATAATAATAGTTGACCTCAGATACAAATGGGTGTTTACACTTCTAATTGGCAAACCACGCTTGACCGAACCTAACAGCTCAGCACCTATACAAAAAATCACTCACCATCATAACTGAATACCAAAAAAGTAAAGCCTTAACCCATTTAACAACTACTCATACCCTCCATGAGCTGACACCACTGCCACCATTAACACTACCTAGACACTTCTACCAAAAAGAAAAACAAAGCTACGTACTAACTGAAAATCACAAAGAAATCCATAAAAAATCACAAAAATAAACAAAATCACAATCCTTACAATCTATGAGGAACCCAATAGTAAAAAAATGAAGTTGAAAAGAAAAAAAAAAGAGCCATTTTTTGGATTAAAAATGTCACAGGCAACACATATAAGGATACTGGCAATGATGAAGAGACTTTGAAAAGATCAAAAACCATGGAAGGGTAGAGGAGAAAGGGCAGAATAACATATTTCAATTTAGGATAGATCAGATAGTGGATGAAAGATTTACAGTGGCTTGAAATTTCAAGCTTCATTGTTAAGATCTAGGGCTTTTGGGGTTGATTTTGGAAAAATGGAGCTTAGACTCATAAAGAAGATGAAAAGATGAAGCTGTAATGACAATTTAGAGTAAAATGGCAATTAACTGACATCGACAATGATGACATGTGACAGGTTAGTCTGGTAACGAGGAAAAACAATGGTTTTTTTTTTTAACTTGAGAGCTTTGATTTTTGTTTTTTTAGAGGGGAGAGTAAAAATTATTTGAGACAAAAAAATTTTGTTTTTATAGAAAAGGGAAAAAATTTTAAAAAAATAAAAAAGGCAACTATGAACCGACCCAAAAAGTAACCCAACCTGACCCAACCTAGTTCAGTTCAAGCTAAACTTAGGCCCATCATATTTAGATCATCTTTTTTTTGGTGGATTTTGTTACAAGTCCAAGATTTGGTTGGGTATAATTTCTCATTTTCAAACTTCATTATTTAATGCATTTTTATGAACATACATATACATGTCCAAATATAAGAAAAAATGCATGTCTTAAAATATAAAATAAAATTTGTGAAATTAAAATTATGAATGCTTATGTTAATATTGTATTTTTAAATTTGCTAATGGAATAATTATT